TAAAACGCATAAAAAAACCTAAACACCTAGGAAAATCAAAGCCAAATGCGGTTGACATTTTTAAAGTTTGGAGAGCAGCGGAACTGGACAAGATTTTGTAAAATTACTCTACACCACAGGCAGGTAGTGCAACAGATATACCGGTCGCAGCATTTGATTCATCCCAATATTTACATTTTATTTCAAATGTTTTTTTATAGGATTTGGATTAGCAGTTTAGGCATGGATATATATATTTTCATTGAGTTAATGATTGTTGATAATATCTTAAAGCATACTTGAGCATATATTGAAATTCAATAAATCATCTTGCAGTTGGTCAATTTTAAGCACTATTGCTGTACGAGATTATAGTCTCTCTAGTATTTACATACGAATATGAGACTTGTGTGCTTAGTTTAAAGCTTTAATTTTCTCTGTACTACGTTCGAAACTCCCACATATAAAAGTGACTTAATATACAGGGACAGTTGTTTCTAAAAATGCTATATCCACAAAATACATTTGATTAAGATAAAAGCGCGTGTAATGGAAAAAATAAAGTTCCGTACCTTTTGGTATTACGAACATCTAAGTCGTACGAGAAAAGGAGCATGCAAATGAAACCGTTTTTTATCCTGAAAGTTAAAGACCTTCCTTACATCAGCAAGGTAAGTCTTGTTTGTACTGAAAGGAAAAACCTATACTAATTTAGATAATGATGACTTCTATTATCACTTACAGCTGTCCTTCTCTCCTAAGTGGAGGACAGGGCCTCAGACTCTTATTATTGCTTCAATGAAATTTATTTTGATTGTTTTTTAGAGTACGTCACTTTTTTATCATTTAAATTCACTTCTTTTCAAATTCTTTCTTCAAACATATCATGGATGATATATAATTCATGTTTCTGTTAATGTTTTTTTGATGTATAAACTATGCTCTCGTTATGTCTAAGACGACAGCTATTTTCCCAAACTATAATAATAAAAGTTTTTTTTTTGTTCTTTTGGAAGATTTCTGCAGCAACTGCCCATTTTGGGCATTATCGATGTCTATATGGTTACGTTTAAGTTTAACTAACCTTCAAACAAAGTAACTTGCTAACCAAAATTCAATTGTAGTCTCATCTAAAGTATGTACTATAACTTATCAACTAAACATTTGGTTATTATGGCAAATACTATTGAAGGTTGTTATCTTATAAAAATAATAGAAATTTCTGGACGGTGGTGTTACATGAGTAAGGCTATCGTATAAATATACTAACTGATGAAGTGAGTTTATTAACATATATCATCTACCATATCTATTTATCTTTAAAATATTATAAATTTTATTTGGTTGATTAAATTGAATGTGATTTTTGATTTTAAATACAATTTTAATTTTTAATTTAATTTTGAATTAATTTAAGTAGCTCATATGCATTTGATTCGTAAGATAATCGTATGTGCGAAATGCGGTCAACTTTTCACGGAGTTTCTGTGGTCCGAACTCGTGTAAAGTTTTTACATTAATTTCTTATTGAAATATTAATCTGTGGCTTTGAAATATGCGTCAGTCGCAGCTATGATTCTTTTATTGGAGGCAGATCTTTTTCCTGAAGTATTTTTTTAGGTCTGCGAATAAATAATAATCGGTGGATACGAGATTTAGCACAGAGGGTGAGTGCGGAAAGCAATTTGAAAAACAATTCTTGAAATTTAGTCAACGATTTGTGGTATGGCACATTGTCTTGGTCAAAGAGGACTTTTTACTTCTTTACGTAAAGCGGCCAATATATTATCTATATATCTAGATACACATGTAGATTTAGATAATAATAGCTCTTACTTATTATGAATAAAGAAATCAATGTAATTTTTAATTTTTTATAAATATCAGTCGTTTTGTTTCAAATATAAATTTGAAAACCATCAACCTAAAAATTTTGGCTTGAAAGGAGTTACCTAAGACCAATGTTTAAATTTTTTTTTAAAATTTTTCTTTGATTACAAAACTTTTTATTTCCTGAAAACTCATTAGAAAAGCGCAAAAAATATCAGGAGAATCACGTAGAGCTGCAATTTAGCCAGACCGCAACACTCATAATTAGAAAGAAAACCGTTTGATAAAATTGTATCTCCACTAATTGAGCATTTCGGTAAGAATTTATATAACTAAAGCAATTAGCCGCAGTTCAAAATTGCTCTAATGTGGAAAAACTTTTCCATTTCGTTGGGAAATTTATCAAATGAAATGCACAAATATGTGCAGTAGCGAAATATTGAAATATCAAACGTGGCTGCACTTTTAATTAATAATATAATTTTACTTTGTTGTAGTCAGTGTTGTTGTTGTTCTTGTTGTCGGAATGAATAGATGAGCTTAAATTTCTTCAATGGGAGCTCTGATTTGAGTTGGAAGCAAGAATAATAGTGTTTATCTGCGCGATGCTTATCCGGTTTGACACATTGTCCTGTTACCATTGCAGTGCAATGTCCTTTCATTATTTCTCGGCAATGTTTTGTGCAAAACGCTGATTGTAACGAAACGACAGCTGCAGTAGAGCTCCAATGCAATCGCGCCTGAGAACACATACATCACTGGCTTATCTGGTATCGTATAGTTTGTTAATGCAACGAAAAACACAAAGCCACAGATAGAAGCACAACAACAATTACAATAACAATAACAATAACAAATACGAAAACGAAAACAAATACAAATCCAACAGCTAACAAAAGCAACAAATGTGAGACCCGCTGGCGAAACTTCACTGAAGCTAAATCCGATCCGGCACACAAACTGGAGCTGAAAGTACGTGTACGTACTCGTTCGAAACGCAGCTGCTGTTGCGACAAATAAATTTGCGGTATTTTATGGCCACCACAAACTTGCAGCGCGTTTTGCCTTCTACTACGTGGATTAGTTGGATTTGTGTCGTTCGGTTGGATGTACGTGTGAGTGTTCGGAACTGTGCCATGTTAACACCGACTTCAGTGTACTACACTCGTTTGTTGCAGCAACGCAGGGCGCAAGATTATAAGAAATTTAATAAAATTCCTGCCATTCTCGTTGAAATGTCAGTTGATTGTGGTAAAGACATAAAACTACAAAGCCAACAACTGCAACAACTGCAACAGTAGTAGCAACAATATATTGTAACATAATGTGGCACTCCAAAGGCTCAATTTCAGCAGGTGAGTTCTGTGTTTAACATCAGCCAACTTCCACGATGTCGAGTTCCGCGTGAAGTTGCTAATAAAGCATTTGTTTACATTTTGCAACGACTTTTCCTGGCAAAGCAGCATTTTCCAGAAAGCATAAATCGAAACATTTTCAGTTCAAATGCGCAATCTGTGGATGTATAATATAGGACGATCTTATATATACATTGTGACCGTTTAAATTAGCGATTCAACTTATCCGATTATTAAGATACCAATACCAATAATTGCAAAAAAGCTTCAATATTTTCTACAGATGTTGCACTATAAAATAAAATCCTGTATAAGATATTGTTTCTTTAACGCTGGGTATCAGACGCCTGAAGCCAGCAGAAGGATTAAATATAGAAGCTTGATCGTCATAATCGGTGGAAACATTAACAACCAAAGTCTGACTCTTAAATCTACTAAAACTATCACTGCCATATGCATTAAACTTTATTTTAGTAATTAGAGTGTTCAATAAACGGGCTTAGTACTTAAAAATATCGGTCTATCTAATGCAGAAACCATGGGTATGGTATAAGGAGAAGGAAGATAGGTAAAAGCGATGTGGTTAGTGACGCAAGGAGGAGATAAAGCCAAAATCTGTAACAAGTGTCACAAAAACCATGGTTTAGAAAAAGGGTGATGCATTTGAATAATGTTGAGCTTTGTTTTTTCTCTGTGTTAGATGGGAAACATCGACAGTCACATTATTGGAATTCAATTCACTAAAACCATCTCTTCGGAATAAATGCCAAGAATTCCACCACTGTCTTAAGTGTTAAGACAAAGAGTTTTAGTGTATAAAATATATAGTTGAGCTAGAAAGCAAGGACTTTGTTTAGGGAGAAGGAAGGTAGTGAGACGCTTGGGGTTATTGGCGTTAGCAAATGAAGGTCCACAATTTTACGTGGTTACTTGCCGTGACGGCTTAAAACCAAGGTGTTCTTTACACATGCATCGGTAAACTACGCCGATAAACACCCCATTGGAATTCCGCAAATACCAGTTGAAGTTATGTGTTAACTTCCTCCTTGCTGAGGAGCGAGGCCTACCTAACACCTCTGTTGATCTTCGGGTCACATCACGCGGTCAGAAAATGCAATTCCACATAGAATGATTGCAAAAAATTACAACCATTCTATCCGCGTGAGTTTAGCTTTTAACTATAACCACCACGTCACTTCCTTTAAGGAAGTGATGGGCAGGACTGCATAAGCTACGGGCTCTGAACCCATGGTACTAGACACACACCTCCGGTCGGGTGTCGCAAGTGAAAATAATTGGCTTTCGAGAATTGTTAAACACGGTTAAAGAGGGGGTGATAGAAACAATACGTAAAATCTGGTTGTTAATAAAATGTCTGCTTATAAACATTCCGTGTAAAATATATTTTAGTAATTGACATGTTTCACACCCGTTCTTCAAATTATGACGTCTGAAACAGTACAGCTGGAGAGTGATAAAGTATTTATATAGTTAAGCACTAGAAAAACAGTTGCGAATTCCAATTTCTTTACAAATATTTAATAATTCAATAAATATTAATGCATTTTGTGAACTGCATGAGTTCATCAGTTCATCTGTTTCGTAATAATGTCTAAATTCTATAAAGTACTATTAAGTCCAAATGCATACAAAAAAACTGCTTTAACTTCATTCTTATATTATATGTAATCCCAATAAATATATATATATATTCAATTGGAATTTAACGCAAAGACGACAATATTTTTTTTAGCGTTTTTAAGATCTACAGTTATTTTTCCATGGAATCCTAACATATCCTTCAAGTGTGGTTTGTAAAACTAAATCACAACTGACTCTACCCACTTGTCTCTTCAATTCAATTATCAAGTTTCTTGCTTTTTATACTTCAATTTTCTATGTTTGTACTTCCTTCCTTTAGCTCGAGGTTTTGAATGAGGCTGCACGCTTTCAGTGTTGCCAATTAACCTTATTGCCCTCAATTTGTATGCCAAGAAAAGTATTTATTGTAAATTAACTTTGCTTAATTGTCATTTGTTAGTACTTGGGACATTTTTAAACTTAATTACAGCGCATTTACACTCACATTTATATTAATGTCGTCAACCGCAATGTGTGAGGAGAACACACTTGCAGGACTTGCACGACTTGCACAATTCACAGGCAGAAATGTAGCCCACAGGCCACACAACAGAACCAGTTCCACTGTTATCTAAAACGCATGTTTCTACAACGAAACTTATGTCACCAAAGACAAGTAAAGCTGCAGTAATGCTGACTCCGTCTTAGCACAAAAAAGGAAACTAAATGAAAACCTTAAAATACCAGTAAAACCACGTGACAGGAGGAAAAATGACTTGAGTCCTGTTATACAGAATCTACTGCACTACAAGCCCGAATACAGGTGTTCCTAAGTTTGCTTGTATGCTTTTGACTTGCTCGCCATTTCATGTACGTACACTGTAACGTCACTTTAACCGAATGGAGAAAAAAGTACTAAAATAATAACAATTGCAACGACACTCATAATAACAAAATCAAAATCAGACAAAAAAAAAAGAAATAAAAAACTCAACAAACTAAAGGACAAAAAGGATACTCGTTGGCATTGTTGCATTGTTTTATCTGTCGTAAAAGTTGTCGTTGTCATGATTTTTGATGTCGACTGTCAAGTGGACGTTGACTTAAGACAAACAATACTGCAAATACAAATACGAAAGGACATAAAATCGTTTATCTTTTTCAGGTCCTGGCACTGTCACTCACTCGTACCTTCTATTTAAATGAAATTTGTGTGTATTTGTATTGTGCGTTCCTTTCAGGTGGAGTTTTCGTTAGAATTTTATTATTTTTGATATTTAATTGACGTAAAAATTCAAGCTCTAGAATCTTTTCAACTTATGTATATGTAACTACGAGTATGTAAATGTGTATGTTGTCTATTCTATATGCTCTATAAACACAATACGTTTATAAAGTTCTTTAAAAATGCATAAAGAAGTGATATTATTATTGTACATAAATGTAAAAATATGTTAATAAAATAACGAACAATGATAAACAAATTTGATGATCGTAAATTTGAGATCTTTTATATCGTTAAAGTTACAAAAGTAACTAGAAATTACTAGCATTTTAAACTCTTATATCAAAGGGCAAAATGGAACCTATCTTACTCTAAATTACTTTATCACTCAGTACTTTCATAAATATGCAATGAATGATATCCATTATTCTGATTTGTCAGCAAGATATCCACTTCACCTCCACTTTTTTAAATTTCGGTTGCTTATCTTCGAAAAAGTGGGTTTAGCCCATTTTCAACGGCTCTTCGGCGGGCCATTCTTCATCAAGAAAATTTTGCGAAAACCAAAACTAGATACAAGGTACTACATGCTGAGTGTATCAAACCTATCCAACTAAGTTCTGGTCATTTTTGCCGAGTCATCGAAGTTGTGTGTCGCTTGATATTGTTTTGTCGGTGCATGACTATCGGTTTTTCTTTCAATCGGTTGAGTTGTATGCAACACCGAATCATTATAGAAGAATATCTTCCAATTTAACTAAACGCTCAACCTTGTTTACCTTGTTTGCCGTCAATATAGCTCTTGATGTTATTTATGGGAGGTTACCGGCTTTTCACTTTAAAAAAGCCGGTAATACTTTAGAGTAATACTTTAGAGTTTAATCTATTACATTGTTTGTAATGGTTTACCTACTGTATTTCAGTGCTTTTCATTAATGGTAATTTGTTCAATCTAATTTCTTTGTGTTAATTCATGCGGTACCCATACATCGAGTGTCTTTGCATAGCTTGACCAAACTATTATTTGGTTTATGTGTGTTGTCTTCATTATCTGCAGTCTTACTCTATCAGTTGCAAAATTTCAATGGGTTAAACTCGATTTTGTTTTTTTTAAAAGCATCAACTTTTATTTCGAGCGTTAATTTTTAGTATATTTCTATACGTATTTTGGCAAACTCGCTTTTGCCTTCATCAGAAGAATTCCTTATATTGGGTTATTTTATCGGTTGGTCGATCTAAACGAGTTGCATCTCTGACAAATCCAGAAAACCGTTTAAATTTTTTTGTCATGTTTTGCAACAATTTTTTCTTTTCAAAGAAATAAAGTATCATATAGTTGACTTTGGCAGATATTTGACTTTCACTAATTTCTTTTTCAAGTTACTTTGAGGTCTAGAAGTCTATTGAATTATTCTGTAGTAGACAATAGAAAGGTATATATATCTGACTAAAATTTTTTTGTTAGAGTGGTTTAAGTAATTGTTACAAAAAGTATTTATTCTTTTAAGGTATATTGATATAAAAATAATTATAATTGAAATAGTGGAAAATTAATATCTATATAGTATCTATTATCTTTCAATAATGCTCATATCTGCGGAAGACCAAATCCAAGTCCAAATCCAATCGAAATCGAAATGTAAGAAAGAAATTCAATTAAACTCACAACTCAAGCTTTGTTATAATTTAATTTATTTCGCACTGATTTGATGCAATAAATTCAATAAAAATTTTCTCTCAATAATAATTTTAACTTTAATCCATACATTTCCAACTTATTGCTTCATATATTTTAATCTTTATGGTTGCACAATTTTTTCGTATCTGCAGTGCTTTTCCTTTTGCAATACTCGTAATAAATTTCATAATTCAACTTTGCACTTGTAGCAAATTGTCGGACATTTCTGACAAGTTCTTGCAGCAAATGCTGCAGCAGTGCAGTGCCAGCATCGGCAACTCATAATAAATGTTGCTGCTGCAAACTTTGAAATCAATTTTTCTTATATTGCATTTCGTTTAAGTGAAATTGTGATTTTCAGATTGCATTATTTAGATACATATTTATGTGTATGTGTGTGTATGTGTGCTGAACACGACAAACATACATACAAGTACCGTCATTTGTATATATTGAGCAATGCATCAGTTTGGCTTTATTCTATGTTTTATTTTGTATTTTGTGCTAGTGAACGCCAGCAATGAACGCTAGATAAATTTGCTGATAGATATAATAAATCAATGATATAAACGTATATTTATATAGAAATAAAAATATATATAAGTAATTTCTTCTGTGTATACATATATGTATTTGTATGTATATATTTATAAATATATTATTTATTTGCGATCTACTTTAGTTATCCCCTTCTTCTTTCTCTTTGCAGATGGCGAGATACTTCGAGTGCTGGTTAATAGTTCAGCTCAGATAAAATGTGATGTCGGTTCGAGCTTACCGGACGACAAAGTTTTACTTGTTGTTTGGTATAAAAATAATCTCCCAATTTATAGGTGAGTTGTGTGCCACAAAAATGTCAAGTGCGATTAAGTGAAATATTAAGATTTTACAAAATAATAAAACATTAAAGTGTCCTTTAGAAATATTGTAGTTTTACCTTCATGGCAATTAGAAATAATTTTAATTTCAAATAAAATTTTTTGTTTTACTTTTGCAGACAAGTTAATTTTACCATTAAAATAATATTAAAATAATATTTAATATAAGTAGACAAGTAGATACTGAGTAATTATCTTATATATCTTTGCCTATATATTAATACTTTTATTTACTTAGAAAAAATACATATTTGCTAATATTGTAATTCACAAAAAACATGCTTAGGTTGTATGACTTCAACTATATAAATGCTTATATGGTTTATAAAAACCAATAATAAGATAATCCCATGTACCGTTTTCATAATACAGGATAATATTAAACATTAATAATGATGTATATTAAATTCACTACATTCAGACGTCATCATCCCAGGTTTAAAATTTCAACAAAATATTTCATTATATTTTTCAAGAAGACAGGTTCACATTAAGTGAATTTTTAGAAAACAATAAAAAAATTACATGTGATAAGAAGTGTTTTCTGTTTGTTGTCATCAACATAATCATTTTCTACTGAACAAAATAGATCCGATATATAATTAGCTATCTTTCTCCTGCGATCAACATATTTCTATGTTTCTCTCTCTCTCTTTCTATCCCTCTTTCTTTCTAGCTCTCGGTACAGAGCGATTAAGACTAACGTGGAGATATGTATTACTATCATCACTATCAAAACGATCAGTTATCACTATTTTAGTGATTTATCATCACTGTTATAGTGATCAATCATAATTGTAATAGTGATCAATAATCACTGTCATTGTGATTAATTATCACTATGTTGTTTAACATGGTGGATAGCTAGCTCTTTTTCGTGGATGTTCTATTTTACAAATTTCAAAAAATTTCAAATACATATCTATTTGTTTTTCTTCCACATGAATTTTTGTGAAATAGAACTTGTAGAAGGATTTGTCTTCCAGCTGGTTTTGTTAACATTTTTTCCTAGTATATTGTATTAATCTGATATGTTCTGAGAGTGTTTGTAGAGCAGAAGTCTAATATGTTTGTTTGCAATATATATAGCAGAAGAAAATCGATTATAATATATATATTATTCCTTTAATCATGTAGTAATGTAAATAAAAAAATTTTAAAAAAATCTTAAATAAAATCACTAATAAATATGAGAAAAAATGGAAACTATTAAAGCTATCATACTTAATCCATATTCTGTTATTGAATACACCTAAATCTTGTTGTTCCTTAATAAAAAAATTAATTATCAAAAATTAATGTATTATAATAAATAATTATAATTATTAAAAAAATTAATGATAAAGGGGTTTTCGTAAAGTAGTTAACTACAACAACAAAAATTATTTTTTTATATTATTTTAATCAATTGAATTTTTGGCTGACCATACAGCTGTTTCGAATATTGCTAAATACCCATCTCAGTAGTCTTGGTAGTCAGTAGTCAGTAACAGAAGTCCTATATTTTGTGAAATAGGCTATCACTGATATTGGCTTCCCAAATTTTCTTGTGTTGTCGCCATAATACGGCAGAGGTGATCAAAGATCATAAGTTATCACCCCACGATATTATATTTTTTAAGTTTTGATTACAAAAAAAATAATTTATTAATTTTGTTTTTAAATCTTAGTCTTATATCAATAAAATGTAATATATATCTAATAACAGTGTACTTATTATATTCCGTTTTTAATATTCTTTAATTGCAGAAATGACTAATAACAAACTTTCTGTATGTCTCCAAAATATGCTTTTAAATTTATAAATTTATTTTTGTTAGTGATTAAAAACAAAATTCTTTATTTAACAAAAGATTTCAAACGTTGGTATTACTATTTCATTTTACAAAATCTTCATCAATTAAAATTAATTTATTTCAAAAACTTGTTCCCAACAAAATCCATTATAAACAAATTTTATCTCACATAAGTATCAATAAATTTATTTCAAGTACTTTTAATCCATAAAGGATTTTTTCCATCACTTAGTAAAAATACCTGCCATGTTTTCTGTATAAAATTAAAATCCTTTCTGATTTTCAGTTTCGACACCCGAGGCGCTCATGCAGGCACACCTTCGCATTGGCGTGATGAGGATGTTCTGGAAGATCGCGCCATTTTTCGCACACATAAAGAGCCCGCAGAATTGATAGTAAATCCCGTACAGGTTGGTTAAACAAATTTTGCATAATAAATTTTATAAAAATAGCTTCACAAATTAAATAAAAATAAAACTCTGCATACATTATAATCTTTATTTGTTTACATTTTACTTTCTGCAATTCACAGGAAAAGGATGCAGGGAACTTTCGTTGTAGAGTGGATTTCAAACTTTCGCAAACTAGAAA